CCCTGCGCATGCCATTCTTTAAACCTTGTTGTGAATGATGCAGCGTCTTCTACTGCAGAAACAACATTTTTTTTTTCTATTGTACAAGAACTTTACACTTTTTTTTCTGGTTCTACAAAGCGTTGGGAAGTGCTAAAAAAATATGTTTCTCAATTAACTCTGAAACCATTAAGTGCTACTAGGTGGGCAAGCAGAATAGATGCTTTAAAACCTTTACGATTTCAACTTTGCGAAATCTATGATGCATTGATTCTGATAATAGAAGACGTCAATAGAGATGCAGAAACTAAAGTTAAAGCGAGAGGGTTAGCAAAAAATATTAAAAATTACAAGTTTATATGTGGAGTAATTCTTTGGCATGATATTTTGTTTGAAATTAATTTAGTTTTGAAGCTTTTGCAATCTGTTACTATAAATATATCAGATTGTGTAAGGATGCTATCAGAAACCATAAAAAAAGTGAAAAGTTATAGACAATCTGGATATATTCAGATGAAAATTGCTGCAAAGGAGATAGCAGAGAATCTCGAATGCAGTACAGAATTTCCTGATGACACTGAAGTTAGACCCAGAAGGAAAAAGCGTCAATTTGACTAGGAAAAAGCTGTCGATGAACCCTTAACAGAGGAGAAAAAATTTAAAATAAACTTTTTCAACTATATTCTGGACATTACCCTTAATTTTCTGAATGAACGATTCACGCTTCTGAAAACCCATAGCAAAAAATTTCAGTTCTTATATGACATTTTAAAACTCAAGTATATATATGACAAAACGCTAGAAAATTATTGTTCCAGTCTTGAGTTTATACTTTCGGTTGAAAATGAAACAGATATAAATGCAAATGACCTTAGAGAAGAATTGCGTGATGTATCCAGAATGCTACCATATTCTACGAAACCTTTGGATGTTTTAAATTATTTATGCCAAAATAGCTTAATTAGTTTGTATCCAAATACTGTTGTAGCTCTGAGAATTTTATTAACTCTCCCTGTATCTGTAGCTAGTGGGGAAAGAAGTTTCTCCAAATTAAAATTAATAAAAAACTACTTAAGAAGTTCAATAGGACAAACAAAACTTAAAAATCTGGCATTAATTTCTATTGAATCTGCAATGGCTAGCACTCTAGACTACACATCAGTAATTAACGAATTTGCTAAAGTTAAAGTTAGAAGAGTAAAGCTGTAATACTGTACATTGTTGTAGTTTATAGTTGAAATCATTATTTTAAAATTTCAAAATAAAAAGTAGAATTCGTACATTTTGTGCAGTTTTTTTTAAAATCACAATCGAAGGTTATTTTAAAGAAAAACATTTAAGGGGCGGCATTTCGAAGATTTGCCTCATAATTTTGTTTAATAGATTATCTATTAAACAAAATTAGTTCACAAGTTTTTTTTCAAAAATAAATGTGACAAAAGTAAGAAACATTTGAGTTTTTATTATGAAATATAATGTTTTGTCAATAGCTATTTATTAAAAATGATTATTATTAAAGATATTTTGTTAAATTTATTAAAAATAAGCATTTTAAACTTTATTTTTTCGGAATTTATTTTTAGAAAAAGTAAAACTAACAATAATAATGGTTCATCATCAAAATTATTCATTGGACATCCGATCTCGGGTCATTTGTGATCGAAAAAAGGGCCTAACCTACAAGCAATGTGCAGAAAAATATCAAATATCGATAAGTGGTGTTAGAAAGATGTGTATAAAATTTGAAACAACTGGTTCTGTTGAAAATCAGAAAAGATTTGGTCGCCCCCCTAAGACTTTAACAAGAACTGATATGCTAATTACGCGAATAGCAAAACAAAATTCAACAATAACCTCAAGACAGATTGTTGAAAACCTTAAATTAAATGTTTCCAGTCGAACTGTACAGAGAAGACTTAATTGAAGTGGTTTAATAAACCGTCTTCAAAAAAGTAAACCCCTCATTAGTGGTATAAACAAAAAAAAAACGCTTAGCATTTGCAAAACTGCATATTAACAAAGATGAGGCATTTTGGAACTCAGTGTTATGGTCTGATGAGAGTAAATTTCAAATATTTGGCTTTAAAAAACGACAAAGAGTTTGGCGCAGACCTTGTGATGTACTCTTAGATAGAAATCTTAGAAAAACTGTCACGCATGGAAGTGGTTCAATTATGGTTTGGGGATGCTTTGCTTCAAATGGTGTGGGAAGACTGGTGAATGTTGAAGGTATAATGACAGGACAATTGTATGTTGATTTGCTTTCCAAACATTTATGTTAATCCGAAAAAAAATTGAATTTAGATCGCAAGTTCTTTTTTCAACAAGACAATGACCCCAAACACACCAGCAAAGTGGCACAACATTTCCTCAAAAAAAGTAAAGTTAACATCCTTAAATGGCCACCACAAATCCCGGACCTTAACCCCATTGAAAATTTATGGGCAATTTTCAAATCTAAAATACCTCCTTCAAAACGAACAAATAAAAAAGAATTTTTTTGAGGTTCTTAGTGAAACTTGGAATTCAATTGGTACTGACGTCACGTCAAAGCTTGTAAAAAGCATGCCAAGACGTTTAGAAGCAATCGCGAAAGCAAAAGGTGGTGCAACAAAGTACTAAAATGAAAATCAGACATGATATTTTTGTATTTTTAATATATATTACTGACAAAACATTATATTTCATAATAAAAACTCATAATAAAAAAAGATGTTTCTTACTTATGTCGCATTTATTTTGGACAAAAAAGTTGTAAGATAGCTAATTTCGTTTAATAGAGTTACTTTTGCATGAGTTATAAAGAGTTAAAAATATATATTTTTTTCTTTGGAATCAAATTTTTAAAAAAACATAAAGTTATTGCAGTTGCGTAGATCCTGACTTAAATAATTTTGTTTTTATTGTTCGAGTTTTGATTTTATCGATAATGTTACTTAATTTTGTCCGTGACTGTATATATATATATATATATACATATATATATATATATACATATATACATATATATACATATATATATATATATATATATATATATATATATATATATATATATATATATATATATATATATATATATATATATATATATATATATATATATATATATATATATATAGATATATATAGATGTATATATATATATATATATATATATATATATATATATATATATATATATATATATATATATATATATATATATATATATATATATATATATATATATATATATATATATATATATATATTAGGGTGCCTACAACTACTTTTGAAATTGTCTGCTGCCACCTATATGTGTTCTATGTAATAAATTAACACTAAATTAAAAATATTTTAAGGGTCGCTCAAGATCCTTAAATATCAAACGGGTCTCTAATATTTTGAAGATAAAACTTCTTCAAAACTATATTTTGTTGGGTCTCAAAGGAAGTAAAATTTTATAAAAATTTCAAAAATAATAAAAACAATTTATGGAAACACAAATTAAAAATGTTTATTTAAAAAAAAACTTTAAAAATATGTACTTTATTTTTTTGTTAAAAATTGATAGCTTTTAAGCCATAAAATTTAAACTAGTAATCTTTATATAAAATGATTCTTTTATTTGCAATTTTTATAAAATTTCACTTCTTTTGAGACCCAATATGATATACTTTTAAAGATTTTTTTTTTAAATACTTGGGACCTGTTTGATGTTTAAGGGTCTTGAGCAACCACTAAAATTTTTTTTATTCAAAATTTTTTTTTTAGTTTTATGTTAATTTATTAAATCCATATCTAAATACGCGATACAATTAGTCAGTTTATGTGTGCATGGGAGCCCTTGCAGTTCGTTAAATCAGTATATTTTTCGAGTGTTGGTCTATATGTGCTTTTATTTTTAAAAAAAATTCTTTGTATTGATAATAGAAAGCAAAATGTCAACTCAAAACTTATTGTTTCACAACAGCTCGTTTGGACAATTCCAGTTCAATAATTATTAATTTGTTCCATTCAAAAAGCCTTATCCGCAAATGACGAGACAGACTAAAACTAGGCATTAAAAAAAACGATACCTTAACATAAATGCTTCAAAAATTAGAGATAACTGGGTATTCAAAAATGCAATCTAATTTTTCATAACTTCTGTCGTAGCTGCAAAACCACAAAAACAAACTTATGTTTTAAAATTGCTTTTTGTTTTTAAAAACACACATGCCATTATGTTTAGACCATAATGGGAATAATAATTTGGTCTATTAAAAGGTTGCGTTTAACACTTCTTACCACAGGAGTTTTAATATCCAACAATAGATACTTCTATACAAATTTAATTTTATTCCATTCAATAAGGGCCCCATTCATTAAGGTTTTCCCTTATAAATTCTGGAAACAATGGACTTCCAAGGAAAAAAAGCTCTATAGAATTCTTATAAACTTTTGAAACATATGGCCTTTTGGAAGTCTATAGAATTTCTAAACAATTTCTGTTTATTTCTGTAGAAATTCCTATAGATCTTTTTTTCAACTTTTTTTCTATAGAAAAAAATGTTTTATAGCAATTTCTATATATATTAAAAAACATTGTATAGAAATTATATAGAATTTTTATAGCCATATGTTTCAAAAATTTATAGAAATTCTATGAAACTTTTTTTCCTGGGTTTTCATAAATTTGGTTCCTTTGATACTTTTTTCCTTTGATACTTTTTTTGAAAATAAGTCTTGAAGTAGATTTAACATAAAATTTGTTGTTTATTTTTTAATAAACAGCAAATTTTATAGCAAACAAATGCAAAGGTTTGCATTTTAAAAACAGTTATTAATTGTCAAATGATCAATAGTTAACTTTTGTATATAAATATAAAATTTATTCTGATTAATTTTATTTAAATCTTTTTTGATACTAATGAAGACTAATTTTTTTTAACTAAACAGGAGAAGAAAAAAAAAAAGAAAAAACGAATAAATAAAAAGAAACAAAAAGTATCCATTATCCACTACACTTTTGAATGACTTATTTATTTATTTATTAGCAGGCAAGACGACCTTATGACGAAAGAGATATTTTAGCATCATTTTCCTCATCTCAAGTTGAGATACTGGCAAAACTGAAAGAAATAAACAAGGAGTATGGTTTTGGGTTTTTAAACTATTAATTAATAATAAAATTTTATCGTTACAAATAAAATTGATATATAAATAATAATATAGTTAATAAATAGTTCAAGAAAAATAAATATGGTATATAATATAATTAAAAATGATGTATAATATAATTAAATACGGTATATATTATATTTAAATATGATAATAATCAGTAAAAGATGTCTTTAAGGTGGCTTAATTTATATTACCCACAATATTCTACAATAAAATCTAAATTTTATTTATGCATATAATAACCATCTACCCAGGAAAAATATTTCTATAGAATTTTTATAAACTTTTGAAGCACATGGTCTATAGAAATCTTGTAGAATTTGTATAGAATTTCTATAGAATGACAATTAATTTCTATAAAAATTTCTATAGACGTTTTTTTTCTACAAATATTAATAAAACTTTCTTCAATAGAAAAAAAAGTATAAAAAGAAAATATATAGAAATTTCTATAGAAATTACCAGAGATTGTATAAATATTCTATAAAATTCTATAGGGTTTCTACAGACTATATGTTTCAAAAGTTTATAGAAATTCTATAAAACTTTTTTTCCTGGATTTAAATTTATATATCAGTTATAAATCAAAAACAGTTTAACTACAGCTTCTATAAATTTATCTCTCTTCTGAAAAACATTTAAATTATTATTTTTGTTGGAGAGGGTTTCCTCGCCTCAAAACTTTTTATTGTTTTTCAGGGCAAAATTATTAAAACAAAATTATAATTTAATAATATTAAATTAGCCATATATTTCTTTTAAATTGTTTTTTGATTGATTTTTTTTTTATCAAAATCTATATAAACAATGATAATGAAGTAAAATAAAATAAAAAAATTATGTTATGTAAATATAACCTATAAAACAATATAATTTAAATAGAATGTAAATATAATGTAAAAACAACACTATAACATAAAAAAATTTTTAAATATTTTATTTACGTTGGTTTGATTCAGTCATGTAAGTTTATGTTTTTGATTTTAGAATTCAATCACAGGCAAAAGGTAATTTATTGTTTCTTGAAATATTTTCCCATAGTGGTTAGTAAAAACAATATAAAACCAAATAAATAAATCAAAACAGTAAAAGTTTTAGATTGGTATATTGTTCAATATTGTGTTTTAGAAAAAAATAAATTTAATTGCAAAACTTAAAACTAATTTTATGGCTATTAAAGTATTTTTTTATTATTATTATTTTCTTATTATTAGGACATTTTATGTTATATATAATAAATTTCATTACTAGTTTTAATTAAAGAAAATAAAATGATTTCAGAAAATGAACTTCAATTTATGAAGATTTTAAATCTGGAAAAAGAGGTATTTTATTACATAATATTCTAATTAGTTTTTATAATATGGTAACCATTGCAACAGTTTATTTTTAAACAAAGAATCAACAAAGAATCAAGCAACCACAACAGTGGTCTAAACACCAAACATGATTTAAAAATCAAAGTTACCTAAATAAATTTAAATAAAGTGTGTGTGTGTGTGTGTGTGTGTGTGTTTGTGTTTATATTACAAATGTATTATTTGTTCAGAAAATAGTTTGAGTAAAACAGTTTTGTTGCAAAAGATAAGTAACAGGAATCAATTATACATAAAAATCATTATTATAATTATTAATAAAGGTTGTTATAAGCAGCGCTATTGTTATATTGCATATAAATACATACTTTAAAAAAATGTTAATGTTTACATAATAGATTATGGCAAAAAAAAAATATTAGTAAACAATTAAAATTTATATAAAATAAATCTCAAAAAATGTTATATTGACACTAGTAAACCCAATTATTTTTTAATTTTATGACAAAAAGGAATAAAATGCTTTTTAACATTATATATATATATATATATATATATATATATATATATATATATATATATATATATATATATATATATATATATATATATATATATATATATATATATATATATATATATATATATATATATATATATATATATATAAAGATTCTTAATAACTTTATGTGTTTTTATTATTATATTGTCTCAAATAAATTTGTTTTAAAATTAAGGAATTGAAATAGCTGAAACCATTTTTAAAGATTTATAGTGTATATAGTATATATTTATAGTATAGTTGTAATGTTTTTATGTATTACAATGTAATCTTCTTTATATTTTGAAGATAACATATTGTTTTAAGTTTGTTTGAAACAATTTTGCTTTAAATTTTATCAAAAAATTTATTAACCAGAAATATTTATATCTTTATTTTGATAAAAATAAAGCTCACTGAGTTTGACTTATTTAAAACTTTTATTGCCGAGGAAAATAAATAATCAAAAACTATTTCTACAAATGTAACAGATTGTATACAGAGAATTTCTAAAATACTTGGTTCCAATGAATTTTCATTAAAAAAGTTAGTTTAGAATAATTGAAGAAGATTTCAACATTAGAAGAATAAAAAACTTAAATAAAAGGCATAAAAGTGTTAGTGCGGTCATATATAATAAATATGAAAACAGAAAATCTTTATTAGTCTTTAGTTATTTAGTTTTTAGGAGTTAAAGATATATATTATGATCTGTTTAAATGCTCAAATGAGCAATGTTTGGATATTGAAAAAAATTGAAAATGGTTTTTCCATTAATAACAATAATAAAAGGTTTTATCGTGCATTAGATGGAAGCAGAGGGAATGCCAAGCCCTTGACATTTTTTAATAAACTTTTAATAAAGCCTGCATGCTAATGTCAGCTTCTTTTCATATGGTGTACTGGGAATGTATTTAAAATTGTTAATCTATTCTTTTTTTAATCAGTACCTTTTTTGGGTTAAATTTCATTAGCTTGCAGCATCAAGTTAACTTCAATTTGAGTAAAACTCTTTTTTGCAAATAACTAGTGCAATAGGATATTTCTATATTAATGAATGGCAAGCTCTTACTGAGTCCTGATATAAACCATATATCTAAACAATTGAAAAGTTATTATCAGTTAGGATTGCTTCACTTCTTCGGCGCGCCATTTCTTAGCTTCTGATTCCATTCTCTACCTCTATAAATCTTCTCCGTCTTTAAATGGAATATTGTTTTCATACTTGGGATGGTTATTTTATTGATGTTTTTTTTTTAAACACAACCTTAAAACGCCTTGTTTAATCTATGCTAGCTGCCAGGCTTGAGCCAAACCAAGATCTTACGTGACTCATCCTTCAGCAAAGCTCATTTACCGTCAAATGTTCCTTTACGTTTAACAAACATTAATTAACAGTTTTTTTAGTAAACCCAGTGATTTTGAAGTTATAGTCTACCATTTTTTTCCCTTGACTCTCTTCTTTGCTTTTTAGTATCTCTCAACTTAAATAAGTGTTACTTGCAGTTTTGTTGGAAGCGATTTTGTTAAAAAAAGTGTCCTAAATCTTGCTATCCTACTTACTTTATTAAAAATTCTTCCTTAACTTTTTTTAAATTACTTTTATAATAAAATAAATAAAATAATCATTTGAAAACGTTGGAATGTAAGTCCTATTTAATTTACAGACTTTATGGTAAAAGATTCAATTACACCCACTTAAAAACGGAGAATACCAATTTAAGCTATTGCTTTTTATGTGTATATATATAACCACCCAACATATATATATATATATATATATATATATATATATATATATATATATATATATATATATATATATATATATATATATATATATATATATATATATATATATATATATATATCAGTGGCGGAACTTCAAAATTTGGGCCCCCCCGCAAAAGAATGTTTTTTTTGCGGAAAAGAGTTTTATAGTATAAATATTATTGAGAGTATAACTTTTTTTATATGAGGGCGCCCTATAGCTGGTAGGCCCCCCAGCAACGCAGGGTCCTGCGTCCAGTAGTTCCGCCACTGATATATATATATATATATATATATATATATATATATATATATATATATATATATATATATATATATATATATATATATATATATATATATATATATATATATATATATATATCAGTGGCGGAACTTCAAAATTTGGGCCCCCCTCGCAAAAGAATGTTTTTTTTGCGGAAAAGAGTTTTATAGTATAAATATTATTGAGAGTATAACTTTTTTTATATGAGGGCCCCCTATAGCTGGTAGGCCCCCCCGCAACGCAGGGTCCTGCGTCCAGTAGTTCCGCCACTGATATATATATATATATATATATATATATATATATATATATATATATATATATATATATATATATATATATATATATATATATATATATATATATATATATATATATATTGTGTGGTTCTAAAAATCTTTTTTTTTAATTGTTTTTTAAGCCTAAATATGAGTTCTATAAAATAAAATGACAACATTTGCATAGTCTAAGCTTCAATTTTTTTTTTTTAACAAAATAGGTGAAGAAAACTAATAAACTATTGAGGCAACTGTTTGAAGAAGATCAAGATATTTCCGATGACATCTATAATTTGCAAAGAAACGAGAGTTTAATAAATTACAGAATGAAATATAAATCTTCCGTAGATAGAGACTTCTACTTTTCCCAAATTTCAGAAGGAAACCTTCTGCAGAAAGAAAATCCTAGAAAAGATTCAATTAAAAATGAAGTCAATTTTTTAAGTTCAATAAAACAAAAAAAATGTAGTTATGAAGAAAGAGACGAAAATGAATTACACGAAATTTACGTACGATCACTTAGAACTATGTTAAGAAACTTTCAACTTGAAACCATAGAAACAAAAAGCATTAAAAATAATTAGTAATGACAATAATTGTTTAAAGCAAAGATTTGTACAAACAATCTGTTTTGTTCTTTGGCAATTTTTGTTTTAACTAGCTGCTGAAATAATTTTTATTATTTTTGTAATATTTGTTGTTTTTCTGATTTTATATTTAAATTTTTTGCATGATGGTGTTATCAAATGTATCTCTCCAATATAATTGTATGTATATATATATATATATATATATATATATATATATATATATATATATATATATATATATATATATATATATATATATATATATATATATATATGTATATATATATATATATATATATATATATATATATATATATATATATATATATATATATATATATATATATATATATATAAATATATATATATATATATATATATATATATATATATATATATATATATATATATATATATATATATATATATGCGTAGGAAGGTTTTTAAATGTTTGAAATAACCAACATATACACAACAATCCAAATATTTTTACTTTCATAAATAGGACGAAAAGATTCTTTAAAAAAGTACTGTGATAGGAGAATGGGAACAGGAAGCCCTAAAATCTTAGCCCCCCCCTCCCTGCCCGAAACGTGAGGGCAACAAGTTGATGAAATATATTTTGTAGTATTTAATATTTTTTCAACTAGACTTATATTCATCGACAAATTTTAAATTTCATAGTAAAATATTTTAGTGTTTAAAAAATATGACCATATAAAGTTTAAACTCTCCTCAATTTGAGGAGGTTGCAAAATGATTTTTTTTTTTCTAAACATTTTAGTTGTTACATGATATTCAATGCAAAATTGGTTAAAATTTGTTCGACAAAAAGGCTCATATAGAAAATTGGTATTTCTTAGAAAGTATTTATGGGTAGGTTTCAAGGTAATTAAATCATTTAAAACGACAGGAGAAAGATTGTTTTTACATATATATACAAAGCATAAAATATTAAAAATATTAAGTTCGTAAATAGTAAGTATTCTCATTTCAGAAAAAAGTTGTTTAGAGTGAGGAAAACGATTAGCAAAATTAATTACACATATTGCATGTTTCTGATGGCGATAGAAAGATTGTAACTTACTATTCAGTGTTTGCCAAAGCAATATTTGCATAATTCATATAGCTATGAATGAATACATGATAAAGTTGGGATAAAACTTTTTTATTTATATAGATTCTGGCCTTATAAAGAACTCCAATATTTTTTAAAACTCTAGTACCAACATAATCAATATGTTGCTTCCATATTCTCATCAAGGAATACGTCTAAAAATTTTGTGATGCAATCTCTTTTTATTTCAATTTGGTCAATAAAAATATCAGGTAGAGTTGGGGTAAATAACGTTTTTTAGTTATCAAATGAAAAAGAATCCATTTTGTTTTTTCAATAGTTAAGGTAAGTTTATTACATTTGAACCAGCTAGAAATTATTTTGAGTTCTTCATTCATTGTAGTGAAGAGTTTATTAATATTGTTATCATATAAAAATAAATTAGTATCATCCGCAAACATAATACTTAAAAGATTAGAAGCTTTATGCAAATCATTAATGTATATTAAAAAAAGAAAAGGCCCCAAAATTGATACTTGCGGAACACCACATGAGATACTTAAAACATTTTTTTGATAAGAATTGTTAAAAGAAACAAATTGTTTTCGGTTTGTTAAATAACTTTTAAACCATTTCAAAATTACACCATCCACTCCATAATGTTCAAGTTTATGAATCAAAATGCTATGATTTACTGTATCAAATGCTTTTCATAAATCCAAAAAATTACCTAAAAAAAATTGTGAATTTTTGAAAGAGTTAGAGATTTCACGGACAAATTGGATGATTGCAAGCTCAGTAGAACTATTTTTTTTTAAATTAAACTGATTTTTATAAAAAAAATTCTTCTTCTTAAAATAACTATATAATCTATTGTAAATAATTTACTCTAAGATTTTTGAAAATGTTGATAAAATAGAGATAGATCGGTAGTTACATATATTAATTATGTCTCCTTCATTGTATATTGGGATTATCTTAGCTATTTTAAATTTATCAAGATAAACTCCTTGTTGTATTGACGCTCTGAAAACTTTAAACAGAATATCTTTTAATTGTTCAAAGAATTCTAAGATTATGTTTTGATTTATTTCATCAGCTCCAGAGGCTTTATTTTTTTTAAATAGATTTAAACGACACTTGAAACTCCTCAAATGATAGCTCAGAAGATAAATTATTGGAGCAAACGCAATCATCCATCGGTCTTAAAAAGTTATTGAACACAACTTGGGTATTAAGAACTTTATTTGCTAGTTTTAAACCGATATCAATAAAGACTTTGTTAAGGTCATGAGCTATTAATCTAGGTTCAAAAACATCTTTCTTATTTACTCTAATCACCTGTGGTAGGGAGTCTGAGCAAGTTTTTTGTTTTCCACCAATTTCTCTTAATATTTTCCAAGTACGTTTAGAGTCGTTAGTAACATTTTCAATTAACTTTGAGTAATAATTTCTTTTTAAGTTCACTGGTCTATTAGATCAAAGTTTTGATTCACTGGTCTATTAGTTCAAAAAGTTATAATAGACTGGAGCACAGTGATCAGAAAGGGACTGGAGCACAGTGGTCAGAAAGGGACTAGAGCACAGTAGTCAGAAAGGTCTCAAAATGCGAATTTATTGGGATTTTGAAAAGTCAACTTTTGTAAATTACTAAAATGTTATATTTTAATTCAATCTATTTTAGGTACCCTTGCCATATTTGCATTTAATAATCTTCATCCGAAGTTCAAAAATATTTTGACAACTACATGATACAAAAGCAATTTTTTTTGGCTAATTGATTTGCTCAAAAATTGTAAAGTTTTAAAATTCAGTTATCACAATGTTTATTTGTCTAACTGGGTCCAAAATTGTACTATAGATAACATTTAGCCTTTTGGGGGCATATGAGCATAAAATTCAAAAAATTTCGGTAATTTTTAGACTGCCAGATGGTTTTAAATAAAAGACCGAAATTCATTGAAAATTCCAAATTCAACCTGAAATAAAAATGTGTGTCCAGTTTTGTCAAATTAATTTTTAACATTTAAAGATAACTGAAACTTTCATCTATTTGAAATAATTAAAAATTTGTCCAACTGAATCCGACCAAAGGAGAAATTGAATGTCAAACCAAGCTAGCATTTATTCTGTGTGCGCCAAAATGCGCGCATTTTCTTGCATGAACAAAACAGTCAATCTTTGCACAAATTTGACCATTTGCAAAATAGTTTTTCGTTTTGAAATGATTATTATTTGAAGTTTTAAAACAAATTTTGAAAAAATAGCATCATCAGCTTGTGAATACTGGATCACCTAAGTTGAGTGAATTTATTATTTCATAAAAGAAGAATTTCAATTCAGTAAATTATAAAATTTAAAAATATCAAATCCTCTAAAAATATAATATATGAAAATATAAGCAACATTAAAAAAGAGAAAATTATTTTGGGGCACAAGTTAATATGGATTATATAAAGCAAATTAATCTTGCTCTAAATTAAATCTCACATGCTATTTTGAGATATAAGAAACATTCCTACAACTTTGAAAAGTTCTTCAACAGCTCATTAAATGTTTTTTTCTTTTAACTTCAAGTATAGTTAATTATTGCTTGTAACCATGCTAGCAATGATTTATTAATAGTGTTCAAATAAAATAAAATAGAGTGAAAAGAGTTCTTTTGACAAGCAATCAATTTTTCCTTCATGTGTGTTACCTGTGTAATAGTCTCTAATAATTTTTATGAATTAGTCTAGATGATTTCAAATAATTATTGGTAGAGTGTGCTATTAAATTTTTTGTCTAACATTTTTATTGAGATTGCTGCTTGTAAAGCTCACAAGAAAAAGATGCATTAAAGAAACGTTCTCCAGAAGAAAAAAAGGCTGAAAGAAAAGAGCTTTCATTTCAAGAGAAATCGGTCAGAGCAAAACAAATTGCAAGTGCAAAGATAAGGCAATGAAACATGAGCCAGAAGCTATTATCAAAGTTGCCTCTCAACAACAAAATTGCATGGGAAAGTTGATCAAAATGTCTACAGGTGAAACTAATGAAAAAATTTTAAAAGTTATAAAAGCAATTACTTTAGAGAAACCTAAAATTCAGAAAAAAACTCCAATGGAAGCTTTGGCTTTTCTCTTGTTGACTGATATGACCAAAATCAATACAACTCAATGAAAAATGCCTGCATAGAGAGTAATTGCAATATTTGGCCAAATTATAACTTGGTAGTTGAGGCTAAAAAAATGTGCTCTCCTGATGGTGTTCAAATTGAAAAACATTTAGCTTGGGTCCCAATCCAAAAGAGACTGGCTCAAACCAATTATAAGATTCTGGATGAGTCTCTGCTTTCAGCTCTCATTAAGAATAGCAATCCACTGAAGTTAATCCTGTACTTTAAGTATGGGTTTGATGGATGTGGTTCTTTTAGCACCTTTTAACAAAAAAACTCAACAGGTACCCATCCAAATTGTTGATGCAAATTGCATCAATGTTGTCATCTATCATAACAACTTTTCAAATTCACCTCAAATTTCGTACAAAATTCTAATTGGTCTTGCAGGCCAATTAGAATTTTGTACGAAAGAGAAGTTATTCTAACAGAGGCTGATACGAATCAAAAAGAAATTGTTGATCTACAGCCTTTGGTCATAAGTGGCAATCCAAGGATTGAGGTTTCATATCATGGACTCCTTGCCATGATTGATGCCAAAGTGCTGTACCAATTAACAAAGTGTCTAGCCTCAAATTCATGTGCCATTTGTTACAAGACATTCAAAGCTTTTGCAAAACCAGATGGTAAATTCCTACCAAAAGAGAGCACCCTTCAGTTCAGTGCATCAATACTACACTTTGGATTGAGATCATTTGAGGCAATTTATCACATTGGATACCACCAAAATGTAAAAAAGTGTCGCGAAAGGCTCTCTGAGCAAAAAAAGTCAACTGTGACAGAAAGGGAGAAAAAAGTGAAGACTGATTTTGAGGAAAAACTTGGGATCATCGTTGACAAAGGAAGAGATGGTGGAGCTGGCACAACTTCAACTGGTAATGTTGC